CCATTACCGGAGGGATTCTACGAATCCGTGTTTAACGCAACGTGGAGTCACGTCATGGGATTTCCTGAGGGCGAAGGGGAATACATGGTGGTAATAGAGGGCTAACAGCCACAAGAGTTATTATGGATGGGAGTACACGCAGACTGTGCGTACTTTTTTCTCAGTGGGTGGTGAGAAGCAATTCCGTCCACCACGCCCAAAACACATGATCCTTTCCTCTGAAAAGCGATGGCCGTACTCGCTGAACCATTCAGTACGTATTGCTGACTGCCACATTAACATTGAGGTGTGCATCGGGTGTGGAAGATTGTCGAGGGTGATCTAAAAGGAGTGTTTCCCCCTCCAGAGAGAGACGCACCTAAAATGAGGCGTCATCTTTTGATTGGAGCCCCCGGGGTAGGGAAGTCAATGGCGGCTGGCTCCTACCTCCTTCATCAGCTGCTGCACTACGACGGCACGAAGCTCCATGTGGTTGTGTTCTGCTTTGGAAGGGGTTCCGCATACTTGTTTGACAAGAGGACACGAACGGTGACAATATACAAGGGTGAGAGTAATATTGGAAGGGTTATGGTAAATTTGGCTAGGAGTGGAATGAAGGGGTATATCATCATCGATATGGCAAGACAATTTAACGAACCATCGAATGATTTTGTGCCCTCCCATGAGTGGGGCATCATTATGTTGTCGTCCCCGAACGAAGATAACTTCAAAAGCATGGGCGGAGCAGGCGGGTAGTATCAAAATCATCATAAATTGCCCCGATGAAAACGACGTGAAGGCGATGTGTGTGTGTGGGAGACACGCAATACGACTGAAGAGGAGCAGGCGGAGTATTGGAGAAGGATGCACATGCACACGCATGACGTCGGACCGATTCCACGATGCATCTTTCAATTCAATGAGTATAAGGACCGCGTGGAGGAAATCAAGGACATCCTGGCAGGTATCGACGCTTCAAATGCTGTACATTATGGGATGATTGGAGGTGTGGAAGAGTGGCCCTCGAATGACGCACCTCACAAAGTTGTGAAAGTTGTCAGAGCAATAAGACAACGCGGTCTTGAGGCGTTTGTTGACCTGCCGGTCTGTTTTTCCATTGAAAAGCAAATTAATTGGAAGGTTGCTCGAGGTGGATGAGGAGAATGGCATTATTTTTCGAATATTGAAGTGCAGAAAAGAATTATTGGCAGACGCTTCGGAGCGATATACTCCGAACGCATTCCTGCGTAGAGGCTTTGTGGAAAATATAATGCCGGGTCTCAACGAGTTGCCTCCACCAGGACGTCGTCGGCGACAGAGATGTGTGCAGCAATCGAACCCCGAAAAGCATCCAAGCAGACTCGTTGCATTAATAGCGCTGGGCCACACTCCTCCGATGTTGGATGTACAATACAAGGTGCTATACGTACCGAAGAGCAGAAGTTTTCTGCTTGTGGACGGCTTTTTCTTTGTTGGTGCACCGCGGAGGACGATGGTTGCGGTGCAGGTGAGACGACGAGGGCTGAGCATGGCACCAAAGCCAGCACGGTGGTGCAGTTCAACAATCTTTCACGGAGTTATTTTAATGACTGGGAAACGTTTGCGGAAGGCTTGTCGTGGGGGATTATTTACGTGCAGCATGAGGGCAGTACGGCAATAAACGCATGGCAGCAATGTGTTGTTGTCGCGCACGCAAATGCAACGGGCAGCAATGAGCGTGAGGACCCTCAGGCCATTGCGGCATTTTGAAATCAGTAGGTGCGTCAGTGCGAGGTAGCAGTATC